AAGTTACACAATGCACCTTTAAGATTAAGATTTAATTATAATGGGATTTGACCTGCTTTTGGGCTTTTGTACATTTCGGTTTTTAAAGGTTTGACTCCAAAAACGCAAAAATTGTAGTTTACTTTTCCTCTAGACATGATTTCCGGACATAATTATTTTTTATTAATGAATTAACTTTGCTATTATAATCCAGGCCTAAACAAAACAAAAACAAACAAAAAAAAAATTAAAAAAGGGTGCATTTTATTTTATTTTTTTTACTTTTTAATAGCGGTGGGTGTAACTTTTACTTGTAGAAGGTCCAGCCAAGTGCTCGTCTCCATGGAAATGCTATTGCTTTTACTAGAATGTCCCACAGTATGGCATTAAACTTGCTAGAGCTTACATGTCAGATCTGTGGAGAGGAAAAATCCATGTATAATCGGCTCATTCTTTTTAAAAAAAAAAAAAAAAAAACAACAATTTTCTTCATTATGTCATCTCCAAAACCAAAATGAAAAACAGATAATGATTCATTTTTTCAGTTTTGTGTTTAAATGAATGATGGAAACTGAGATGCCGGACTTTTGCGCCGCATACGAACTGAACCAGGACTAAACCAGGACTAAACCAGGACTAAACCAGGACTAAACCAGTACTGAATGTTGGGACGGACCCGGAGGTGCACCTGCGTAGACTGTTGGGTGATCAGGACTGAGACTAGGACTGAGACTGTTTTAGTCCTGGTTCAGTCCTGGTTAAGTCATATTTTTAGTCCCGGTTCAGTCCTGGTTAAGTCATATTTTAGTCCCGGTTCAGTCCTGGTTAAGTCATATTTTAGTCCTGGTTCAGTCCTGGTTAAGTCATATTTTAGTCCTGGTTAAGTCATATTTTAGTCCCGGTTCAGTCCTGGTTAAGTCATATTTTAGTCCTGGTTCAGTCCTGGTTAAGTCATATTTTAGTCCCGGTTCAGTCCTGGTTAAGTCATATTTTAGTCCTGGTTCAGTCCTGGTTTAGTCCGTTATCCGTTTTTTCCATTATTCATTTAAACACAAAATCGAAAACTGAAAAAACGAATCATTATCTGTTTTTTCATTTTGGTTTTGAAGACAAATAATGAAGAAAATTGTTGTTTTTTCATTCTTCTTATTTTTGGTTTTATATTGAAAAACAAATGCACGAATGATACACAGATTAGGAAAGAATGAATATTTTTCCACTGTATTTTTGAGCAACAGAAACACCTGTAATTGAATAAATATAACGCAGAGAGGTAACATTATTGGCAAAGCAGTGACATCTCCATGGAAAGTTACATAATCCATCTTTAATAGTCCCATAGCAGTAATTATAACACGGCAGCAAGAACTTAAACCTTTTCAATTTTACTTAATGTGAGAAAAACGCAATTTTGGACCATTTGTGTCTTTAGTTAAAGGTCCAAGATTACAAAAAAAAAAAAAAAACTGACTCTTGTGAGCTTTAAGTCATGTTATAATGCTGTTATCTTTACAAAAACCGACCTGGAGTTGAGTTTTGTTTCACTCACACGCTTGAGTCACACTTTATTAGCTCAAAATGCTCTGTTCCACGTTGTGATGTCATGAAGAGGTACTTTTAACGCCTCCTTTTACCATTAAATTCAGCAGAGATCGGCGATTCTTGAGCTGAAATCATCTCAAATGGTTCCCGTGGAGGTGTTTGGAGTTTAAAAACACAGTGGAGCAGTGTTTTCCGATTGAGACAGCTACTCAGGTTTGTGCGTTCAACATGTGTTTAGAAATAAAACACAACTCCAGGTGTTTTTGTGACGCAGAAACAACATTATAACACGGAAAATAGTGTAATGTGGGCCCTTTAATGGTTTGTGATTAAAAATAAAAGACACAAAATAAACAAAAAAAACAATTAGCGGCCCCGTGAGACAAAGATAGTCACCAAAACTGTACATTTTCTACAATACCCAAGTCCTTTGTGTGATAATATCAAGTGCATTTGTTTTAAAGGAAGAGTTAAACTTAAACCCAGCGGAGCTCAACAGTTTGTGGACTTTTACGGTTAAAAAAACTTAATTTCCGATTCGATTTTGGAGAAAAACTCGAACTATTAAAAGGTGTACTACGCAGCTTTTCAGTCAGTGTGCGCCGCGAGCTTGTCTCCACGGAAACGTCACTGCTTTGCCTGGAATGTCCCGCCACACGGCATTAAACTTGTCCGTCAAGCGTTCGTTCAGTTACGTCGTGTTGTGTGTTTTTATTGCTCAAATTTAACCTTGGAAAAAAAACGACATTCTTACTGTCAGTGAGGTCGTCTCTCCACGGATCTGACCCGTAAACTAGGCCTGGTTGCATCCCCCCCGGCTTGGAAACAATAAATTTAATGTCACACGGCGGAACATTTCGAGGCAAAGCGAGAACGTCGGCAAGGAAACGAGACGGTGACGTAGTGAAGATTTGAGAGTTTAATGTGACAAAAAGAAATGTCCAAATCCAAGTTAATAAAAAACAAACAAACAAACAAAAAAAAAGGATTATATTTAGATTTTAAGTGCTTTTAAGATGTTTTTTCACTTTAATTATATGTTTTAAAGAGGGGGTATTTTACTTTATTTTACCATCAACTGCGAAAACGTAAAATATAAGAAAATATATAAGATCACAATGTTGACTTTTATTATATAATAAGATCACAATGTTGACTTTTATTGTCTTGAAAATGCTGTATTCAACAATTCACACTTTCGAGTTTGACGCTCTCTTTTGCTCCTTGTGCTAAGTCACTCCCCCTTCAAAGCACGCATCCCGCCAATGAAAATACCGCACATCACGTCAGGTTTGTTAAGTTGTGTAGTGTACAGTTTTGTTTTATGTTTTTGTACATTTATGGGAGAATTGTCAACTGGGGAGGAGCTAAACGTAAGGAGTTTAGTTTGAACAGGGCCTGGGAAAGATCGCTAGATTACTCAAACATGCATGAATGGCTCTTAATCCTCTTCAGGCATGTTTTTGGTGAAGGATCGACGTTTTAGAATGCTCCAAAAAAGTCAATTTCTCATAATACCTCCTCTTTAAACAGTTTTAAAATTACAATCAGCGTACATGTTTAAGTCAAACGTAAAACAAATCTGATTTTTACGAATGAAACCACAAGCATCCACAAACTGTTGAGCCGTATCCTTTTTCGATTCAAGCAATTTGTGACGAAAATGCGGTGTGAAATGCTAAAAAAGAGTATTTCAAGTTATTTGGTGAATTGTGCATAATTAATACAAAGACAGGAAAGCCCCCGCCAACTCTTTGACTTGTTGTGAACTCTTATCGGGCGTCTCAAAGGTTTTATGATTGTTTAAAATGACAAAATAAAGTCTTCAAATGGTTTCAAATATAGGGATACGCCAGTTCTTTTGTACAATGAAGGAGTCTGGGATATTTACTCTTGGCAATTTATATATAATTACAATTGAAAGTTAGTTTGGAGTAACAGAAAGAAGCAGTGAAGACTTTGTGCCGTGTTAAAATTAACCTTAAAGGTGCACTGTGTAGCTGGAATGTTTCACAGTATGGCATTAAACCTTTCTATCGTCATGGAAACCAAACCGGACCAAGTTATAGGTCAAATCTGTGATGAGGCGACCCAACTCACAGCCAGAATGTGTGTTTTTCTGGGTATTTCTGAGCTATAAAACCACCTGTAATTTAATAAATGTAAAGTAGAGCTGTTTAAAGTCACACTGCGGAGCATTCCAGGCAGAGCGATGACGTATCCATGGAAACGAGCAGGTGAAGGACCCCCCCAACCAAAAAAGTTGGTGCACGGCGGCTATTATTCAAATGATTAAGTAGATGAGTTGAGAAATGTCGGAACAATTCACTTAAATTTGATGAAACAAAACTAAATAAACGTCATGAGATGTATTTTTATTTTAAAGGTGCATTATGTAACTTTTCTCGTGGAGATTCAGTCATTCTTGTGTCCGTGGAGAGGTTAGAGTTTTGCCTACAATGTTCCATAATAGCCACGTTTACATGATGTTTTTTAATTCCGAATTAAATGTTCTGAATTTAAATATTCTGCTTCGAGTTGACATGGAAATAATAATGACGAATTGTGGTTTATCTGGAAAACACTTAAATCGGCTTTATTTTATTCTGATCGACGTCTGGGGGTCGGGAAGAGTTCTGATTGGACAGAGACATGAATGTATTTACGTCGACCGGAAGAAAACACACACTTCAGCTGCTACCGGCTTTTCTGTCATCTCGGTTTGTCGTTACGTCGCGGACACAAACACGAGCCAAACTTTTTCCGCAGTCATTCTGATGATAATGAAGGAGCATCTGGAGAATTCTCTCATCACGATTTACGTCTGTCGGCTGAGGAGGAGAAGGGAAGAGTGTCGGAGAAGGGAGGAAGAAGACAAACGGAGTCTGAGGCTGCTCTACCTCAGCCCACTCCCACATCCCGCTCACAAATCCAAAGAGACATGGAGGAAAGTCCGAAGACACGACTGGTGGAGCCGGATTGAAGGGCGACATAAATGTTTACATGACCCAGGAATAATTTAATTCCGCTTTAAAATCGGATTAAACCACCCGCTTACTTGGATATTTAGTTTAATTTCAGAATAATCATTTTCAATAAGTGTTTACATGGTCTTTTAAAAGCAGAATTAATTTTTATTCAGAATTAAATAACTTTTATTCAGAATTAAAGCTCTCATGTAAACGTGGCAACTATTGCATTAAACTTAGTCCAATGAGGTTAATTTGGGTTTTCGATAATTTATGTTAAGTTATGTTCAGACCAAATGCTTTAAGTCTGAAAAAAAATAACCTAATAACATCTCAAACTCGATGAAAACAAACAAGCAATGCCAACAGGTCATGGTACAGGTCAGATCTGTGGAGAGGCGAACTCACTCACAGTAAGAATGCATTTTTTTTTTTTTTTTTTTTCAATACATGTTGAATTTTTGAGCAATAATAATAATGTAATAAATGAAACAAATGTAATGAACTAAAGAAGTTTTCTGCCATACTGTGTAACGTTTTAGGCAAAGTGCATCGTTTCCAGGCGACGTACCCTCCTCGAGAAAAGTCACACAGTACACCTTTAATAATAATTTAAATTCATACACATAACATCATTTAGTGCTTGCTCCTTTCCACTTATAAACCTTAAAATATTATAGAAAATAATCTTGGTCAAAATGCGAAACGTGAACTCGCCGAAACTCGCAAAATATCCCAAACGAACCTTCAGATTACAAAATACAAAAGTGTTTTAAACGAATTTTTTTCAAGTCAACCTCTCCCTTTAGTAACAATGATTTTTCCAGGAAGCCATTTTGTTTTTAAATTACTTCTTTTACATCAACACAACAGTTGATTAGCGAGTGATCTTTATTTACAGAAAAAACACAGGAAGCACCACAAACGGGAACGGCCCCACGACGTCCAGTGACTTCAACTCAAAAACACCCAAGTCGATTTTAACGGCGTTGGCTCGTTCTGGTTTACTTAAAGGCGCATTGTGTAACTTTTCTGGTTGAGAGTCTTTCCCATGCTGGTTGCCATGGAGAGGCCAAGTTAGTTACAGGTCAGAGTAAGAATTTTAAGAGTTTAAAGACATTTATCGAGGTATTTTTGCGTTATAAAACCACATTTTCATCTGAATAATTGCAAAATATGGAACTTGAATGCCGTATTGCGGAATTTTTTTTAGGTACGGCGATAACATCTCCATGGAGAAAAGCATTTGACGGACCCTCCACCAGAAAAGTTACACAATGCACCTTTAGTATACTTATATTTTAATTCATTTTATACATTTTGAACAGGTTTTAATATAGATTTTTCTTATTATAAAGCAAACTGTCTGCTGGTGATTTAATTTAATTTGGACTCAATATTTAATATTCTTTATTTAATTCATTTTTAGACATATAAAAGTGATTTTTGTGGATAAATCAAGACTATTTTCGACATTTTTGTAATTCTAGCAAAACTTAATTATCTGTTTATTCACAATAAGAAAAGATTAAAAGATGCATTGTGTAACTTTTCTGGTTTTGGGTTCGTCAGATGCGTTTCTGAGTCTTCCTATGTTGTTGCTTTGTCTGGAATGTTCCACAGTATGGCTTTAAAACTTTCTGTATTTATGGAGAAAAAAACAAACCAAGTTACGGGTCAGATCTGTGGAGAGGCGACCCCGCTCACAGCCAGAATACGTGTTTTTGTCTGTATTTTTGAGATATAAAACCAAATGTAATTGAATAAATGTAGAGTTGTTTAAAGTCATACTGCGGAACATTCCAGGCCTCACAATGACATCTCCATGGAAACGAGCAGGAAAGGAAGCAGGTGACGTACCCTCCACCAGAAAAGAGACACAACGCACCTTTGAAATCTAACCTCAATAACAAATATTTTAGCTCAGAAAAAGAAATTAGAGACAAATCTTCAAAATAATCACATAAGTTTGATAAAGTGCTGGGTAATAAAAAAATAAAATAAAAAATAACTTTACAAGTACTCGCTCAATGATCAATGATACTCTAGTTCAGTAACTCCAAATTGAAATTGGACTAGTTTTGATTTTATTTACTTAGAACTATTTTAAGATATTTCAGGGTATTTTCAAAAGTTTAAATTCAAGCAAAATCCATCAGAGGAATTAAAAAACAAAAACAAAAACGCACAAACAAAACCAAATTCGTGGGAAATATCTTAAACTCACACGCCCTGGGATCAATAAATAAATTCAACTCAATAAATCAAAACTACTCAAAAGAAGACCTATTTTAGACCTGGTTCAGACCTGGTTTAGTCCAGGTTTAGTCCCGCTCTAGACCTGGTTTAATCCTGTTCTAGACCTGGTTTAGATCTGCTTCTCAAAAAAAACGTTTAAATAATCTGGGCATAATAAGTAAATACATGTTAAAGTTGCACTGTGGAACTTTTCAGGCGACTTATTTGCCTCCATGGAGACAGGGAGACCATTACTACTGTGTTAAGAATGTTTCAGAGTGTAGCATTAAATTGATGTGTTTCCATGGATACAAGCAGCTGTCAGGTCAAGGCCAGATCTGTGGAGAGGCGAGCCCGGATGCAATAAGAGTGTATGTTTTTCAAGATGTTTTTGAGCAATAAAAAGTGTAATTGAATAAATGTAAGCTGGAGATATAAGTTTAAAGCTACACTGTGGGACATTTTAGCCATGGGACAAGGTAGTAGGCGATCCCTTTATCAGAAAAGTTACGCAGTGCATCTTTAACAGGTCAAAACTAGAGAAATAAAGTGTAATATTGTGAGTTGAAGTCACTTTCGTTCGTGTAGGCGTTGTGGGTTTGCGGTGAGCTTATGCATTGAGCCTCAGGGACTGCTCTTCTCTCCTCGTGGAGGAGATATCTATGGTCATGGAGTCTTTGCCCACGATCAGACGGAGCCGTTTCGCAGGAGGAAGTGGAATGAAGTCGTCCTCGAACTCTGTGTCAAAATAATCCTCCTCCTCATCCGCGTTGTCTTCGTCTGATGAAGGTTCCCCCATCACCTTCGGGGGGCGATGTGCTCCGTTTCGCGACTCCACACTCTGAGAAATGTCCCCGTTAAAGGGCATTTGGTCGGGTTTGGTGGTGTGAGCCGCCCTCCGCGCATCGTCCGCTCCTTTCAGCTGGATTTTTAGCTTCGTAGAGTTACTGTGCACCACCGGAGCGTATCCGTTATTGAGTCTGGACACGTAAGAGCTGCCTTTGTCCTTGTTGTCGCGGTCCTTGCTCAGTTTGATGCTGATTTTACTGGAAGAGGAGGAGGAGGCGGAGCTAGCCTCTTTGGGTTCGTTCGTTTTGCTGCTGTTGCTGTCCCTCCTCCTGCGTAGCGTTAGCTTGGGTAGCCCCGTGCTGTTTTCCAGAATGAGCTGAGCGTCGTAGCGCGTGATCCTCCGCTTCTTCTTGGTTTTATCCGGAGAACTGGACTTCCTCTTGTCCCTTCGGATCGATTTGGACATTCCGTTATAATCCCGATGTGCGTCCGCGTAGCTTAGCAAAACATTATTACTATCACAATCCGAAAAGCTGGCGTTACTCCCCGTCAGCGGCATTATCGTCTCTGCGTAGTTTTCGCATTTTATCGTCCGCTCCGACCTCAGCAAACCCACACGTTTCTGCCGCGTACACCTATTACGACTATACCCTGTGCTGACCGTGGGCAAGCTCGCCCCCTGCTGGTGGTGCAAGTACTCCTCCATGTCGGCCGGTTCGGTTTTAATCACAACTCCGCCGGGAACAGAGCTAGCACCGTCCAAACTATCCTCCTTACCTTCCTGATTTTTAATGGTTCGAGTTGATCTCCGAGTTCTATAGGTGGCGCTGCCCTCGCTGTTTTGTAGGCTGCCGTTTTCCTTCGCAGCGTGTCTCGTGATGCACCCCCGTGAGCCCGGAGTCTGCGGCGTGATTTCCTGTGATTCGTGCTTTTCCTTTTTGACAGACACGTTCTTACATTGCGTGGTTGCTTTAGCGTCCCTGAGCGCTCGAGAGTCCCTCCTCCGGCTCCTCAGCGTCAGTCGGCTGAGGGAGGGCCGGGGCTGGGACGACTTCAGTCTCTTTGGTACCCTGTTATTGGTGACTCGACCTTGTTTGGAACATGAGGTAGAAAGGGATCTGGTTTGAGTCCTGTTTTTGTATTTCAGACCAGATGAAGATGATGTCCTTTTTCTGGCAGCTGCAGAGACAGAAGCAAAGAGTTAATATTTCAATTTCATTTCCTGGGAACATAAAAGAGGGCCAGACTAGACTACTTGACTTATAATGAAGAAATATCTAAGCTAAAAGATACTTCTAAAAAAAACATTATTTTCAAACACATCAGATGGGCTTTTTTAATGATTTACCTCACTGTAACATCCTGTAATCTCCACACTTTCGGACGGCTGATATGCCCAACAGAGCACAGACACGGCTGTATCACGGTTGGTACAGGTGCCTTTATATTGTCAATAAAGAGTAACTAAAACCCTCTGATCCTTCAGTGGCCTCATACTTCACTGTGATTGGTTACATCCACCTGTCACTCATAACAGGAGCTGACAGATAGGAGGAGTGGGAGGGGAAAGTGTCTGTGTTTGAACATAGAGCCACACTCAAGAGAAGCACTGAATCTGGATGAACTAGACACAGGATTCACATCAGGATTAAGTTTTCCAAACATATTACCTGGGGGGATATTCCATGAAGCGAGCTAAAGCGAAAGCCTGGATTAAATAGCAGTAACAAGCACCCGGAAACAAACCTGGTCAGGACCAGACTAGCTGTCAAGATTATTTTAGCGCCGTCTCCAAGAACGTCTAAAGAAACAGTTTAGTCAAAAGTTTCAGCAGGTGCATCATGCATCTGTGTTAGAGGAACACCTGTCAGTTGATAAAGTGACCTTTATAGTCACGTGTCGCTTGAGACTTTTACAGTCCAGACGCTCCTATGCACGAGACAAAAGTGTGTGTATGAAGCCTCTGGCCATTATTTCATTCAAATGATCTTGCACATGTGGCTGTTGTGAGGAGCAGTGCAGCTTTTACACAGACAGGCGCTGGTTTTCACTCTGAGGATAACAGTGGGTTCTGTCTGTTCGCTCCTTCATCACATCTGTCTCTCTCTCTCTTTATTCCCTCGTCTCTCGCTCCGTCAAACTGCAAACACCGTGGCGCAGATATGATCATTTCTTGTTCGGGTACATGTGAAGATTTCCGTTATAACTTCACTTTTACGCACAGTGGAACTTAAGCTCAGCACCTAGTACCGTGCATCGAGAGAGGATGAGGCAACTTCATTCCCCGGCCATATTGCCCAGGCTCCGTAGTCCGCACTACGCAGCAGCCTCCTCACTGGAGCGACCGGGAGAGGAGGGGGAGTCGTGTCTTTCCTCTCGCTCCTCAGATCAGAATGACGGGAAAAGTTCCATGGCCCAAAAATCAAACATTGCATGTGTGCGCTGCGGTTCCTCTCTCGTTTATTCAAATCATAAAAAAACATCAAATTGTTGGCCCATTTTCTGTGATGTCGGTGCTCCATTGCTCTGGCCTTCCCAGAGTTACCACGAGGACAAAGTGCAGCTCGCATTTCAGGCCTGAATTAGCTTTGGTCAGACTCAGTCTTATTTCTGTCATGGAACAAGTTGAGGCTTGAGCTGGAGATTCAGCTCAGGATTTCAGGATAAGCCACTTTGATGGAATACCCCCGGATCTCCTCACCTTATTGTGTTTGTGTAACCTTACCTGTGTCTGTGTGTGTGTTGTGTGTATCCTCACCTGTGTGTGTGTGTTGGTGTTGTGTGTATCCTCACCTGTGTGCGTGTTGGTGTTTTCCTGAGTCTCTGCGTCCGTGTGTGAGCCCACAGAGTGACTGTCTGATCCGGCTCCTTTCTCTCCGAGCTTCTTCAGTCGGTTCAGCCGTTTGTCCGTCTCCCGCAGACCGTACTTACTGTTGATGACCGGCACCTCCACAGGAAGTCCCGCCCTCGACTTGAACGCCCCCGTGCCACGCCTAAAGCAGGACAATCAGGAAAATGTGACTTTCTATGGCTTGGTTTAGTTTATCTCGAAGATCCCCAATTACCTTCTGAAAACTATGGGTCTACGTTATATTCCAACAATTAAAAAGACCTCAAAATTGACTAAAGCCATTTCTTCTGTCTACTTATCCAAAACCAGTGATGCGTGGGAACATTTTAATCATTATGTTTATCTTACGCATATTTTAAACACTGCCAGGAACATTAAGATTTGAGAAAAGATCAAAATATGCACAGATAGATAAACTAATACAAGAATCTCATGCGTTTCAGAACATGTTTGCAGATGCCTGGACTACAGGGTTTGCAAGATCACACAGTAAAACAGAATATTTTGGTTTCTCTTGATGCTTTACCTGGAATTTTCCACAGTATAACATTAAACTTGATACTACCAGGTCAATTTATAGGTCAGATTTGTGGAGACGCAACCCCTCTCATAGTAAAAAAAGACTGTTTTCGCAATAAAAGTAGTTTCATAAATACAACATTAAGAAGTTTAATGCAGTACTGTGGAATATTCCAGGCAAAGGAATAATATTTGCAAAGGAATAAGCAGGTGGCAGCTCCTCCAACAAAGAAATTACATAATGCGCCTTTATATAATTGTGGGCTTTGTGATTTGCCTTTCAAATTGTGTTTAATCTTGCATCTGTAATCTGCATGTTTAAAAGCGCCGTCCCTCTCCGTCATAATAACAATAATAATAATAAAAACGCACCTCTCGCACGTGTAGCATTCACAAAACTCATTATTCTCGCCAAAGAAGCCGTCGCCGTAGTAACAGGAGATCTCTTCCCCGGGCTCGATGTCCCTCAGGACCTTCACGCAGGCTGTGTCCCGACCTGTCGACACAAACTGAACAGAACGAGGCAAAATGAGAGGCTGGAAATAGCAGTTATATCAAAAGTTATAATTAAGTAGCTTTGAGTTTACCTTGCAGTTTGGCCGGCAGTCTGAAAAATACGTAAAGAGGAACAACGTTAAACCAAACTTTGAACACCAAAAAGGAAAAAAAAACTATCTAGTACCCTTTATAAAATATTTCTGAAGTTAAAATCTACAACAATTCACCCTTATGTAACATTTAATACTCCCTACAACTGTACAACTCACCCTTATGTAACAGATAAGCCTGTGTTTTCCTTATGACCTCTTGTATTTAACTGTGATAAACTGTATTTATATTACAATATTTGTTTTTACTTACTTGTATATACATTTATATAATTTATGTCTTATTTGACACCAGTCTCTTGCCATTTTTATTTTATTGCTACTTATTTAGAAGTTTATTACCATTTTTTAAAATAGTTTTTTTACTCGTTATTGTAATATATTGTGACGCGTGAGCTACTGTGTCTGAGTAATTTCCCTTGTGGATCAATAAAGTTTGTCTAAGTCAAATTATTATTTATTAACAAACAACGATGAAGTGTAGTGTTAGAGAACGTGATTTCTACTTTTTTTTGGCGAGTTAAGTCTTCGCGGGGGTCATGTCTTCGTGGGGGTCATGTCTTCGTGGGGGTCATGTCTTCGTGGGGGTCATGTCTTCGCGGGGGTCATGTCTTCGCGGGGGTCATGTCTTCGCGGGGGTCCAGCCTTCGCGGGGGTCCAGCCTTCGCGGGGGTCCAGCCTTCGCGGGGGTCCAGCCTTCGCGGGGGTCCAGCCTTCGCGGGGTTTCATCTTCAAGGGCTTTCGACTTCGTGAGTTTCGACTTCGCGAGTTTTGTCTTCGGGGTTTAGACTTCGCGGGGTTTAGTCTTCGCCAGTCTGACTGAGTCTGGCTGAGTCTTCGTGGGTCAAGTCTTCGTGGGTCAAGTCTTCGCGGGTCAAGTCTTCGCGGGTCAAGTCTTCGCGGGTCAAGTCTTCGCGGGTCAAGTCTTCGCGGGTCAAGTCTTCGCGGGTCAAGTCTTCGCGGGTCAAGTCTTCGCGGGTCAAGTCTTCGCGGGTCAAGTCTTCGCGGGGTCAAGTCTTCGCGGGGTTCAGTCTTCGCGGGGTTCAGTCTTTGCGGGGTCACGTCTTCGTGGTTTGTCTTCGTGGGGTCAGTCCTTGCAGGTCAAGTCTTCGCTGGTCAGTCTTCGCACACACTCGTACCGTGGTTGATGAAAGCTGCCGGCCCGAGCCACAGCTGGGCGCAGTTCTTCCTGGTGGAGTACATCACACTGAAGTCGTTCTCTCCGTGTCTGAGCAGCTGGTTCTCCTCGCTCTCGGACAGCTCCGCGATACAGCCCACCAGGTACTCCATCTTATCATTCCTCTTCCTGAAAAACAACAACAATTCACTTTAGTCTAGTTTATTTACACTTTCCAGCTGACTATTACTCACCCTGTACAACAACTCACCCTTATGTAAGAGATAATACTCCCTACAACTGAACGAACAACTCACCCTTATGTAAGAGATAATACTCCCTACAACTGAACGAACAACTCACCCTTATGTAAGAGATAATACTCCCTACAACCGTATAACAACTCACCTTTATGTAGCAGATAATACTCCCTACAACTGTACAACAACTCACCCTTATGTAAGAGATAATACTCCCTACAACAGTACAACAACTCACCTTTATGTAACAGATAATACTCCCTACAACTGTACAGCAACTCATCTGTTTGTAATAGATAATACTCCCTACAACTGTACAACAACTCACCCTTATGTAGCAGATAATACTCCCTACAACTGTACAACAACTCACCCTTATGTAAACGATAATACACTTCATTTTAATTGTGAAATGTGCTTCAGGTTGTATTCCGAGTTGGATCATTACCACAGAATGAAATTTCTTATCAGCGCCAAAGTTTTCTGAACGTTCCCAGACCTGCAGTTATAATAGATCCCCGTGGCCTCTTACCATTCTTTAGTTGCCACGATTTTGGCTCCGTTTTGCTCCGACGAGTATCTGTTACAGGGCAGGATCTCAAAGCCGCTGTCCTGGGCAAACATTCGCAAGTAGACAAAAACCTGAAGAGAAAAAAAATGTGATGTTTACTTCAAGCATCACTTAAAATTCCTGATGATACAAACAGTGATTACTTTCGAGTCATGGCAGAAAATGCAAATAAAAGCAGAAATTTGTCTTTATATTTAGTTACTAAACCATGTAAATGATGAATATTACACGTTATTACAATATTTTTAAAGAACTTTTGGATAAATTCATGTAATGTAGCTCAAATTTTTGCATACACAGAAGCCAGATCAGAATGAAACAAAGGCGTATGAACACAAAGGGAAGTTTTTTTGATGAGGAATTATAACAGATCAGCTGACTATGATTTATTTCACGCATGGTTCAGTTATCTTTAAAGGGCCCAAAGCTCCAGGTATGTTTTTTCATTCGGAAACAGTAAAAGCATTTCTTATTTCTCACATGTTGTTTGAAGAGTTTTTCTTGAGCCTTGGTTTTATGGAGGAACAGGTTTCTGGCCCAGTCTCCGGACGTCAGAGCTCTGAACGCTTTCTCCAAGTTGTCGTGTTTTTTGAAGCGCTCGATGATTTCCTTCAACTCCTCTTGTCTCCCTTTAACCGGACGAAACCTGAGGAGCAAATACAACAAAACAAGATCAGACGTGTAACCAGAACTAAAAACACTCAGCTGTTTATCAGTTTTGATATGGTTCAAAGTCTTGGATTATAATACCAAGGCTGTGTCACTTTAACAACTTCCCACATCAGTAAAATACAGTCCACAGTTGTCTAAACCCAAAGTATAATAACACAACGCTGTAGTTTTGTAAAGTTAATTCAGAAATGTAAAAACTAAAATCTTAATTTACTTTACTATATCAGTGACTAGGGCCTTGCTATATTATCGTATTTTTTGGACTATAAGTCACACTTTTTTTCATGGTTTGGGTGTTTCCTGCGACTTACACTCCGGCGTGACTGAAAATTTTCACACTGAGAGTCGCGTGACGGTGCTCTTGTGTGTCAGTATCTGTTACTCCTATTACTCCTGTACCACTGTCACTTTGCTCTACTGCGCATGTCTCCTGCATGTGTCCTGCTGCAAGTAGCAAAATATGTGGGGATGGAGAAAACAGGTTCACGGTAATCGGGCGGGTCTGCCATGAAGCTTTCCTGAAGTCACTGGATGGATGGACAAAGCCTGGACTTCAGTGACACCGAAACCATCCTGTCGGGATTCAAAAAGACCCGAATAATTCTAACTGGAACTGATGCTGAGTCTGACGACAGCGACACAGAAGAGGAAGCGTCGCTCTGTTTACCTTCGGAGGTCGTGGAGTTGTTCAGAAGTGACACCGAGGATGAAGAATTGAATGGATTTAGTGATTTGGAGTGAGATGGAGAGTTTGTTAAACTTGTTCTGTTCTGTTGTTTATGTTATAGTTTATCTGAAGAACTGTTCATATGTGACATTAACAGTCTGTTGTTCTCTCTTCTATTGTTATTACTAGAACTGGACTTTACACATGAAAGGTCAGTTCCTGGTCTCTGATTTTACAAAATAAATTTCCCCAAAAAAGTGTGACTTATAGTCTAGTGCTACTTATAGTCTGAAAAATACAGTGCACAAAATTCAGCTGCTCCACAATGGAGTCCAACAGTCCCACCCACTTAGACGTCTGCTCCAGTTCCAGTTCATAAATACTTCATTCTTTGTTACCATAGACTTTTCCAAAATTTAAAATATTACAGAGTTCAAAGGCACTGTGAAGGCTAACCAGCTACATGCAAACTAATATCCATAATGCGATTATTTTAAGTCCAAAAACCACATTTAAAACTCAAGCGAAATGTTTTAATAACCTGGCAGATTATAAAGTTTCAGAAACAGATTTTAAATTAAATTATAGATCTTCTGCTCATTAGCCAACATGAAACTTTCAAACTTTTCAGAATGTTTATAGGAAAAATTAAACTCACTTCTGGAACAGTGGGGTGTGCTGTCACTGTTGAGCTTCACAGTAGCACCAGCCTCCATCACCACATGTAATGCAGTGTTAACATCTGAAACCCAGTGAGTACAAACCTGGTGTTCATTTTGTGGGTCTGAAAGCCCAGGTACGGGTCCAGGATGAGGCTGGTGGTGAGGTCATCGTTCTCACACAGCTCTTTGGCGGTCATCCCTGAGGAGGGCACATACCGCCGCTCCGACTCCAGGCTGGATGCAGTGAACCCTGGAAATACAAGAGCACATCACGTTAGAATCACAGGGTTCCCGCTCTTTTTTACTATCAAAATTTCAAAACTTTTTCAAGACCTAAAGTGAATTTTTCAAGACTTTACAGCACCTACATGTGTAGAACTGATCAGACTTTTAGAGCTAACTATGAAATGTTAACTCTTTCCAATCACCTTACGGTTTGGTATTATCGTTTTTAACATTCAAAATAAACAAAAGGCGCAGATGTTTAGAAATAATCATAATCGACTAATGAGAACTTAAAAGAATGTTGTAGTTGCATGAAAAAGATACTAAAATTCCATGACTTTTCAAGGCCTGGAAAATGACATTTTCAATTTTCAGAACTTTTACAGGATCTCCATGACTGTGGGAGCCCTGGAATCATATCTGAAGTAAAAGTTAAATTTTATATGAAGAAGTATTAAGCAACACATCAAAATTGGGACAAAACTCAGCACTAAACCCTAACTAGAAAAAGGCCAAACTTTGAGATTTCCTTAAAATGTACAGTGCATTATAAATAAAATGCATTATTATTAAAATTATTCAACTAAATCTACATTAGCGCTGAAACTGAGCCTAAACCAGGACAAGTATGAACGTGCCCAGAAAATATATATTTTCTACATTTCTCTACAATGTTAAGAGTCCCTATGCGTTCTTAAAAGTGCAATAGAATATTTTATTACAAATTTATTAAAATGTCCTCAGGCATGTTAACATTATTCACTTTAGAAATATAGTGAATAATTCTGGAGTTCCACTGAGCCTGGAGGTATGGAGGAGATATGAGACAATTACTTCATACTAACTATAAAGCCGATATAGTTGGTCCATGTGCGTATACTAGTCTATGTGCTCTTATACTTGTTCTGATTCAGCTCAAGACTCTAAAACTATTCAGGAAAGGTTCATTTCTGTCCTGTCAATGGGACTTTTTCAGTATCAATACCTGATCAAATGAGTGTCTAGTTTGAATACCAGTTTTTATTAGGGATGATGAGAAACAAGACGAGATTTTGATATAATTTAATAAACAAATTGTGTGGTTCAGTTCACGATTTTGGCTTCACTGTTTTTATATAAATTTAAGTTTATAGTTTTGCCGTCATAGTAGCACTGCTTTTTGGTGTCACAGTGAGGGACAGGAGGACACTGGACAAACTGCTCTCTCCATCATGGACATTCCGGCTCACCCACTGCACCAGACTATAGAGGGACAGAGGAGCTCATTCTCTCAACAGGCTCCTACAGCTCTGCTCAAACAGTGAGAGATACAGGACTACTATTCATACTATAATACTCCCTACAACTGTACAACAACTCACCCTTATGTAATACATAACCCTATGTCCTGTCAGTCATCATATCATTGTTGCTCTGTCTTCCTGTGACCTCCTGTATCTTTTTTTTATTACTTATTTTTCTATTTTATTTTGACTTGTACATTTACATTTATATAATTATGTCTTATCTGACACCTGTCTCTTGCTATATTTTTTGCTATTTATTTAGAATTTATTATTACCGTTTATATTTTTGCTCTTTATTATTATATTTATTGTGATGTGTGAGCTACTGTGTCCAAATAATTTCCCTGTTTGATCAATAAAGTCTGTCTAAATCCAAGTCTAAGTCATCACTTCTCAAGAGGAGTTACTCACCAAAGTTAACCCCTTTTTTACACAAATGTAAAAATATGGGGGAAAAAAAAATCTCATAAGATCATCTTTCTTATCTTGTAGCAATTTTGTCTCGCGAGATCTTGTCCCACCCATTGACTGTTTATATAAATGGCCACAGTTAACATAACATAGCTAAGTAACTAAGTAGTTAACTAGGTACCGTATTTTCCGCACTATTAGGCGTTCTGGATTATAAGACGCACTGTCATTAAATGGTCTATTTTTCACAAATAAACCGCACTGGACTTTAAACGAAACACAACAGTTGGATGGGTCAGTGGTTTTGTTTGTTTGTTGTGTTCACGGTGACTCTGGGCTTTGTTCAGTTGTGGCGTGTAGGGAGGGTGCTGTCTGGGACCGCTGGATTGTCGGCGTGTTCGCAGTGACTCAGTTGTTCAGTTGTGTCTAGAAGTGGCACGTTAGACAAAATTTTTCGGTTCGTTCCTCCGTTCCGTTCCTCGTCGGAGTGATGAGTGTGTCTGTGGGTGTTTTTCACTGTGCGGTCGCTGTCTGCTCCATGTGTGTTTGCGTGTTCTGCGGATGGTGCGGCTTTGTAGTTTACTGAAGTCGTGCTGGGACACCCGAGTGGATTCGTGTATAGGGCGCTCTGGATTGTGTGCTGCGCAGTCTTTTTTTTTTAATAGCCCGGAAAATACGGTAACTCAGTCGCTTCTAAATCTGGTTCCCATTGACTTCCATTAGAATACTGTTTGTAACTGCTGCTATAAGTTAAATTTTGGTCTTAAAATGGTCATTAACCCGCTCTACATGATCCAAGTGTTTTTTCTCGCTATTTTGTTTTCAGTACAACCCTATCTTATCCTCTACTCACTCCGGCTACATCTCCGGCTCCGCTGCAGAGCCTTGCTGTGGCGTAGGGAGCTCTTCTGTGTCTGGGAGCGGCTGGCGGGCGTCTCGCTGGTCAACTTGGCCCCGTGTCGTCTGCCATTTAAGACCATGTTCTTGGATTCGCCCAGCCACTTCATGCCCACAAGCCCCCGGGTCCAGGTGCATTTAGTCTCCGAGGTGAGGAAACGCGCTCAGCTGGGGAAGACTGGGGTCAGAGTGAGAAACCTGCGAACACAGAAGCACAGATCCACGCTTAGACAAGAACCAACCATTTATTTTGTTCAGTAGTGGAAACAAAATGCTCAGTTTTGTTGCTTAAAAAGGTGCATTGTGTAACTTTTCTAGGGAGAATGTTGTTGCCTGCTGACTGGAATGTTTCACAGTATGGCATTAAACCTTTCTATCTTCATGGAGACCAGACCAGACCAAGTTACAGGTCAGATCTGTGGAGAGGCGAGCCCACTCACAGTCAGAATACCTGTTTTTCTAGGTATTTTTGAGCTATAAAACCACCTATAATTGAATAAATTTAGGCTACGTTCAGACTGCAGGGCTTAATGCTCAATTCCGATCTTTTTGTGAAATCCGATGTTTTTGCGAGGTCGTTCACATTTCCAATTAAATGCGACTTGTATGTGACTCCAGTGTGAACGGTAAATGGCCTGAAAGTGTCCCACATGTGCACTGGAGACACGACGACGTCAACTCCATGCGTCAACCGCAGCGAGCGTGATCTGTGTTTACGGAAGTTGTCCAAACATGGACGTGAGCATTGAGCACCTGGCGATTTTACAGTTCCGGTTTCCGCCTGCTTCAGCGCAGAATAGTGACGTTTGTCGCTTGTTGATAACGTGTAGGTCGGATGGATGCGCTTTGGCTGTTCAGACTGAAGTCGCATGTCAAAAGATCAGATATGTATCGGTTTCAGGAGCACATATCCAAGTGTCCTGGGTCGCATTTGAAAAAAATCGGATCTGTGCCGTTCAGACTGTCATTAAAAGATCAGATACAGGTCACATAGAAGCCAAAAAATCGGATTTGGGTCACTTCAAGCTGCAGTCTGAACGCAGCCGTAAAGTAGAGCTGTTTAAAGTCATACTGTGGAACATTCCAGGCAGAACAATGACATATCCATATAAACAAGCAGGTGACGGACCCCCAACCAAAAGGTTACACAGTGCAGCTTTGTGTAAAAACAGGTTTGTATAGACTTAAGATTTTCCATGACTTTTCAATAACCATTCCTCAATTTTCCATGACCTTGAATTTACGCAAGGTTATTTCAATCAGTTTTGCACTTTTAGTAGCTCAGACTGAATAAAATCGCCGTAGGGATTTCTAAACAGAGAAAACACGTCAAATGTTCAACCAACTCAAAGTCACAATGTCGAGTCAAATGAATTAAATAAAAAACATCTTTAGTCTGAACTAGGGCGGTGCAAAAATATTGAAATATCGATATATCATATCGCTTAATGTGACGGTACAGTATCAATATTGTGGGCTGCTATATCAATATATCGCCAAGAGTATTTTTTGGTATATTTAACTCAATTATTTTGTTACAGCTACAGTTTGGTTGCTTGTTTAGAGAAAAGAAACTTATTTATGCAGCACATTTGACATTTTCACAGTTTTTATGATTAAAATGTTTGTGTTTCATATGAACTTTTCACAAGAAGTGGTTTAACAAAGACTTTTAGTATCACAGCCATGGTTTAGCCTTTATTTTTTATTGAACTGTATCGAATTGATTTGAAATATATCGTATCAAATCGAAAGTGCACTGTATCGTGGTCTGTGTATTGAGACATGTATCATTTCGGTGACTTCTTAATGATACCCAGTCCTCGTCTGAACTTTCTGTAGCTTGACCAGGCCTACAGGTAGTGGTGGATGAAGTACTCAGTTTTGTTACTTAAATAAAAGTATAGATACAGGAGCAAAAAAAAAATACTCAAGTAAAATTGTCATCTAAGAAAATCTAAAAGTAACAAATCTCTTTTCATGATATGCATCTCACGGTACGATATTTATTGCGATATTTTGAAGAGGCTAAGATAATTGTAGACAGGACACTTTTTTGCTTTTAAAATACCTTGACAAGGTTTTGGTGTGAATTATTTCCATCATAATCCCATGAATTCAAGTTAAAAACATATTTCTTCATGTTGTCTACACCGAAATGAATCATGGGATATGTAGTCCCTGATGTTTATTAGCTGTTGCCGCTTTAAACAATGTATTTAAGCAAAGGAACTTGTGATTCGATATATTGTGACAGCCCACGATATTATTGTGAGACTTTTGACAATACGATATCACGATATTTTGGTTATAGTTACATCCCTATCGAACTGTAAATGCGTTAAAAATAAACCCTCAGCCTTTTCAACAGGTTTTAAACGAGAATAAAAAACACTTTTACTTTTCAGTGCAGTTCAAAAACGTAGTGGAGTAGAAAGTACAGATACCTGCTCTCAAATAAAGTCAAGTAAAAGTAAAAAAAATCCACTTGTTAAGTACAGATACTACAGTTTTAACTCAAGTACTTTACTACTTATACTTTTAACCTTCCACCACTACTTTAGTTTGTTGTAACGACAGCACTGATGTCAATATGTCAAGGAACTAAAATGTTTACTCGCTCAAAATAAATAAATAATAAAAATAAACAAAGAGATTATTGATACTTTGCAGCTGACGCCATCAATATTCCCTGGGGGTGTCATGCTAACTGGAGGCACTGCTCAATCTGAAGCTCTGACGTAAATTAGTCTTTAATCCGATCTTTGTTTGAACACAACCTGACCAGAAAGAAGTGACTTTGTCTTGGAGCTACAACAAGTGAACTGTTAGTGCCGTTACACAAGTCCCTCTCAGATAACGTTAAAGTCACAAGCCAATTTAGCCAACGGTTTTTCAGATAGTCACATCAGACTCCTCAACGTGACCACAGACCATTAACACTTTCACTGATCATGCCCTCTTTAAATTAACTGTGTAATTTTCAAGGTTTTCAGACAGTCTTCTAACTTGTATACATTGGGTCACCATGGTAACCGCTGAAGATACACAAGCAGAACCCCCCCAGCATGGTGTCAATTGATCCTAAGAGACCAAACAACATCTAATCAGCAGGTTTCACACACATTAAGCATAAATTAATGGAAATTTGAATGGACGCAATTAGCAAATCACACAGGATGTAATTTTTAAGTATCATAAATTCCTCCAAAAATGACAAAACACAAGAGATGGGACGAGACAAACTTTCCACGAGACTGGGTCCACGAGAACGAGACAAAACGAGATTTTAACATAATCCCTAATATGTAAATTTCACGATTTATTTTCCAATTTTGGCATTTATTTAATTTCATAGTTTTATTTCCACTCAAGTGCTGCTTTTTAGAACTGTAAGAGATGTAACTCACCAACAAGTGACCCTTTTTTGTCCAATCTAAATGTAAACACAAGGACAAAAAAATCTCAAGATCATTTTTCTCTTGTGGCTATTTTGTCTCACGAGATTTTGTACCAACCATACTAAACACATATTCTTATTCTGCATAAAAAAAGCTGCCAATCCTGTAGTTTAGATCTGCACAAACACGTTCTGAAATGATATTCATGTATTAGTTTCTGTTTGTATTCAAGTCTCATCTGGATGTGTTTAAAATAAGAACTTTGAACAGAATACTGTCATTAAAAAAACAAAAAGTAAAAGTATCACATGCGAAATTTACTGAAGTTAAAGTATTACACTATCAGTTTAAAAATGTACTTCAAGAGAGTACCTCGCTAAGATTTTGAGGTCTAATAAAGCTTCATCCCGAAACTGTTTCTGTCTGTATATTTTTGTTTGCTCAAATAACAAATGTGTTAAAAATAAACCCTCAGCCTTTTCAGCAGGGCTGAAACTATAATAAAAAATACTTTCACTTTCCAGTCCAGTTAAAACATGATACCTGCTTGTTTGTTTCGCTCTGTACAAACACATTCTGAAAGGTGATTCTTTTATTAGTTTCTGTTTGTATTTCAGTCTCTTCTGGATGTGATTAAAATATGAACTTTGAGCAGAAAAAAAATAAAATAAATAATACTAATACTAATAATACCAATACTAACAATAATAATACTAATACTAATACTATTACTACTACTACTACTACTAATAATAATAATAATAAATAAATAAACATTTGTAGAAAAAAATAAAAATAAAAAATATAATAATAATAATTGCTATATAATATAAAAGTTAATTAAAATTGCTTCAAAACTGTATGTTTCCAACCAAAAATGCACTCACTGAAAATGTAATAATGCTGTAAATTTATTATCTGCATGTAACTAATGGGTCTTGTCTGTTTTTATGAATATATTTGATATTTTTCTTTTACAGACAGGTGCGGAAAACTAGCACTTGTCATCTGGCCTGTCTAACGCGATGGTGATGTCCTTAATAAACATAAATAAAAAATAAAACAAAATCACAAATCTCGTCAACAAACTGCGCTCGGATATTAATATTCCAAAATCATTCAGTCCTAATGGAGCAGAGCTGTTGCATTGTGCAGTTAAGGTGGACTCATTAACCACAGCCTCCTCTGAGTTCACTATTCCACGGAGAAGCATTAAGAAGAAGAAGAAGTAACATTACGGATGTGTTTTGCGTTACGACCTTAACTGCCAATTTCCAAGCAGTAAACAGTAGTCTACGCAAATGTCTACGCTTAACCCATCCTGATGAGAGTCTTAATGCAAGGTCGGTTCTTGCATCAAACACACTGGAGCCGCTGTGAAAGGCGCTGATGAATATTGTAATTACACCGAGCCAGAAGAGTAAACAAGGCGCAAAACGTGGAGGGACAGCGCCACCCCGCGGTAACCCAAAATAACGCAGGTTTAACGCTGTCTTGTCAAGCGCGACAGAAGCAGCATCCAAGTTATGAATTATTCTGGATATCCCTCTGAAATGATCAAAGCTGTTAGTGTTTATTTTATGCTTTAATGTGCGATTGCTTCAACACTGCACGAGCTGTTTCCACATGTGAGCGGCGGATGCTTCGACGCGTATTCAGGATTTTAGAATAAATACAAAGAATAGTGAACACAGAATCCACAGGAGACAGCAGGGGGCACGGCGTGGATCGGCGCGGTTCAGTTTGGACGCCGTTTGTGCAGATCTGGCCCGTCTCCACGTTGAGTCCCTCAGCTGCGGGCGGACCACAGAGCCCAGTGTGTCCCTGGATTTTGCATGCATCCGACACCGGCTCCGGCTCTGAAGGGCTCAAATACTAGAATAAAAGCTCAGGGGGGAAAACCGCGTCTCCGGAGCCGTGCACTGGCTACACCTGCGGATGAACGGAAATGGGGCATAGGGCAGAGCAAGAATTATCCTCATTTGCTCGAGGTGTGGCGTTTGTGTGTCCAAACTCCATATTTAAAGCGACGTGCTGCGGATATCAATACTGCAACAATTAACGATACCCGTGCACACAACCACACGTTTTTCCACATTAAAACATCTATCTGTACAAGCTCTCTACAGTTAATAGTGAAAGTAAACACACACTTGGAGTTACTTTGTGGTTTTTATCTCACGATAGCATCAAACTGAACTTCAGTGCAGCTAACTTAGCACGACTCCGCGATGCCGATTCCAAACATTCAACAATCAGAGCGATTTTGAGGTTTTAAATTAAGCTTTACACACGCAAAATGATGGTTTACATTGGAAAATAACCTCCAGATTTAAAACAAACATGATCCCGTGTACGTACCTGCAAAGCCCTGATCCTCATGCTAGGCTAGGCTAGGCTAAAGCTAAAAGCGTCCTGTGCTTGAGCTCGGGGGGATGTGAAGCCTTCAGCAAATCTGTTTTGTGAGCGCGTCAAAAGTTCCCCCGGCGCTCCAAACTCGCAGAACCGCACTCCGAGGCTTTAACAGAGGAATAAAAGCCCGGAGAAGTGTCCACATGCCGCGTTATTTACAACAGAAACCATCTCTTAAGCCGAGAGCATTTTCACGCAGCGCCTCGGCTCCGACAAAACCAAAACCGCACGGCCACATTTCATACTTACGGGGGTGTTTTTGTCAAGATAAACGCAGAGCAAAGCGGTGGATCTTAAAAAAAATATTCCAGGATCGACACTCTAGCTATAACAAAAATATCAGAGGAAACCCTTTTTTTTTTTCGGAAATTAACATTAAAATTCAAGATGGCGGCCTAGCACGGGAGCGAGAGAGAGAAAGGCGCAGCTCGGCCATCCCCAAGAAAATAGATCCAAAACAGACGGAAAAATCTCACCCGTTTGACCAAAAGTGTGGATAAACAGTCAATCAAAGGCTATTAAAGACTGTGAATCAGCGTGACACTCTGATAATAGCGTGCTATTTGAGAATAAAGTGTTAAATCGCCGGGGTTTGTGTGCGCCACGGCTCCTCGGATGGAGACGAAAGTAGCGCCGCATAAACAAACCTCCTCTTCTTCCTAAAACATCCTCCACGGCCGAAGAGCGGCTCCCGAGGACAAGGAAAACACAGAAAGCATCTCAAACTCATGCATTTAAACACGTTTGCAGCTATAGTTTTAATGCACGAGCCCCCTCCTTGCTCCTTAACGAGGGTCGAGTTTAATTGCGTAAATAAAATCCTTACTGGAGTGTTCCTTGGCATTGATTGCATGGGTAGTAGTAGAGGGCAACGCCAGGAAATCCCATAGGCTGGCACAGAAAAGTTGAAGTAAATTATGAATTAAAGGGCATTATACTAGTTCTCTCACTAGTCACGGGTTGTGTCATTCATTGGTGGGTGGTTGTGTTGTTGCAGATTTCTTGGGTCTAGTCTAGGGTGGCCAGACGTCCCTATTTACCCAGGACAGTCCCAGTTTTGAGCCTTGTGTCCCCTGTCCCAGTAGATTTATACAAAACCTGTGATTTGTCCCAGTTTTACACACAAAAAGATGTCCCAGGTGTCCCTATTTTTGACCAATTTGATTCAAACCAGGTCTAAACCAGGACTTACATCAGGACTATCACAATTTTTGACCAATCTGACCCCTGCCAACAGTAAAGAGGAGCATAAATTGCAATTTGTTTTACCCGGGACAGTCCCAGTTTGGAGCCCTGTGTCACCTGTCCCATCAGATTTATACAAAACCAGTGATTTGTCCCAGTTTTACACACAAAAAATGTCCCATGTGTCCCTATTTTTGACCAGTTTGATCTAAACCAAAACTAAACTAAGACTTAACCAGGACTACAACAGGGCTATCACAATTTTTGACTAATCTGATCCCTGCCAGCAGTAAAGAGGAGCATAAATTGCCATTTGTTTTGCCAAAATACAGAAAGCCTTGTTTGCAGTTGACCATAAAACAAAAAAAATGCAGAGTCCCTCAGATTATGACTGACACAAAAATGCTCAAAGTTACACGCTCTTATCACAATTTTATTTATACCAAACATCCCAACGGGAGGTGTGTCTCAGTTTGGAATTTTTAAAAATGTGGTTACCCTGCATAGGTTGGCACAGAAGTAAATTATTAATTAAAAGGCGTTATACTAGTTCTCTTACTAGTCACAGTTGTGTCATTCATTGGTGGGTGGTTGTGTTGTTGCAGATTTCTTGGGTCTAGTCTAGGGTGGCCAGACGTTCCTATTTACCTGGGACAGTCCCAGTTTTGAGCCTTGTGTCCCCTGTCCCATCAGATTTATACAAAACCAGTGATTTGTCCCAGTTTTATACACCATAAAATGTCCTAGGTGCCGCTAGTTTTGACCAGTGTGATCTAAACCAGGTCTAAATCAAGACTTACATCAGGACTATCACAATTTTTGACTAATCTGATCCCTGCCAACAGTAAAGAGGAGCATAAATTGCCATTTGTTTTACCCGGGACAGTCCCAGTTTTGAGTCCTGTGTCCCCTGTCCCATCAGATTTATACAAAAACTGTGATTTGTCCCAAGAAATGTCCTAGATGTCCCTATTTTTGACCAATTTGATCTAAACCAGAACTAAACTAAGACTAAACCAGGACTACAACAGGACTATCACAATTTTTGACTAATCTGATCCCTGCCAACAGCAAAGAGGAGCATAAATTGTCATTTGTTTTGCCAAAATACAGAAAACTGTGTTTGCAAATGACCAAAAAAACAAAAAATGCAGAGTTTGAAGTCCCTCAGATCATGACTGACACAAAAATGCTCAAACTTACACGCTCTTGTCACAATTTTATTTATATCAAACATCCCAATGTGAGGTGTGTCTCAGTTTGGAAGTTTTTAAATCTGGTCACTCTAAATAGGTTGACACAGAAGTAAATTATTAATTAAAGGGCGTTATACTAGTTCTCTTACTAGTCACGGTTTGTGTCATTCATTGGTGGGTGGTTCTGTTGTTGCAGATTTCTTGGGTCTAGTCTAGATTGACCAGATGTCCCTATTTACCCAGGACAGTCCCAGTTTTGAGACCTGTGTCCCCTGTCCCATTAGATTTATACAAAAGCAGTGATTTGTCCCAGTTTTACACACAAAAAGATGTCCTAGGTGTCGCTATTTTTGACCAATTTGATCCAAACCAGGTCTAAACGAGGATTTACAACAGGACTATCACAATTTTTGACTAATCTGACCCCTGCCAACAGTAAAGAGGAACATAAATTGCCATTTGTTTTACCTGGGACAGTCCCAATTTGGAGCCCTGTGTCCCCTGTCCCATCAGATTTATACAAAGCCTGTGATTTATCCCAGTTTTACACACACAAAAAAATGTCTTAGGTGTCCCTATTTTTGACCAATTTGACATAAACTGGGACTAAACCAGGACTACAACAGGACTATCACAATTTTTGACTAATCTGATCCCTGCCAACAGTAAACGGGAGCATAAATTGTCATTTGTTTTGCCAAAATACAGAAAACTGTGTTTGCAAATGACCAAAAAAACAAAAAAATGCAGTTTGAAGTCCCTCAGATTATGACTGACAAGAAAATGCACAATCTTACACACTTTTTTCACAATTTTATTTATACCAAACATCCCAATGTGAGGTGTGTCTCAGTTTGGAAGTTTTTAAATCTGGTCACTCTAAATAGGTTGACACAGAAGTAAATTATTAATTAAAAGGCGTTATACTAGTTCTCTTACTAGTCACGGGTTGTGTCATTCATCGGTGAGTGTTTGTGTTGTTGCAGATTTCTTGGGTCTAGTCTAGATTGACCAGATGTCCCTATTTACCCGGGACAGTCTCAGTTTTGAGACCTGTGTCACCTGTCCCATCAGATTTATATAAAACCTGTGATTTGTCCCAGTTTTACACACAAAAACATGTCCTAGGTGTCGCTATTTATGACCAATTTGATCTAATCCAGGTCTAAACCAGGATTTACAACAGGGCTATCACAATTTTTGACTAATCTGATCCCTGCCAACAGTAAAGAGGAGCATAAATTGTCATTTGTTTTACCTGGGACAGTCCCAGTTTGGAGCCCTGTGTCCCCTGTCCCATCAGATTTATACAAAAACTGTGATTTGTCCCAAAAAATGTCCTAGATGTCCCTATTTTTGACCAATTTGATCTAAACCGGGACAAAACTAAAACTACATCAGGACTAAACCAGGACTATCACAATTTTTGACTAATCTGATCCCTGCCAACAGTAAAGAGGAACACAAATTGTCATTCTTTTTGCCAAAATACAGAAAACTGTGTTTGCAAATGACCATAAAACAAAACAATGTAGAGTCAGAAGTCCCTCAGATTATGACATACGAGAATACACAATGTTACATGCTTTTTTCACAATTTTATTTATACAAACATCCAATGCGAGGTGTGTCTCACTTTAGAATTTTTTATATCTGGTCACTCTAAATAGGTTGACACAGAAGTAAATTATTAATTAAAGGGCGTTATACTATTCCTCTCACTAGTCACGGGTTGTGTCATTCATCGGTGGGTGGTTGTGTTGTTGCAGATTTATTCAGTCTAGTCTAGATTGACCAGACGTCCCTATTTACCCGGGACAGTCCCAGTTTTGAGACCTGTGTCACCTGTCCCAGCAGATTTATACAAAACAAGTGATTTGTCCCAGTTTTACACACAAAAAAAGTCCCATGTGTCCCTATTTTTGACCAATTTGATCTAAACCGGGACTAAACTAAAACTAAACCAGGACTACAACAGGACTATCACAATTTTTGACTAATCTGATCCCTGCCAACAGTAAAAAGGAGCATAAATTGCCATTTGTTTTACCCGGGACAGTCCCCATTTTGAGATCTGTGTCCCCTGTCCCATCAGATTTATACAAAAACTGTGATTTGTCCCAAGAAATGTCCTAGATGTCCCTATTTTTTACCAATTTGATCCAAACCAGGTCTAAATGAGGACTTACAACAGAACTACCACAATTTTTGACTAATCTGATCCCTGCCAACAGCAAAGAGGAGCATAAATTGTCCTTTGTTTTGCCAAAATACAGAAAACCATGTTTGCAAATGACCATAAAACAAAAACAATGCAGAGTTAGAAGTCCCTCAGATCATGACTGACACGAGAATGCACAATCTTACACGCTCTTTTAACAATTTTATTTATACCAAACATCCCAATGCAAGGTATGGCTCAGTTTAGAATTTTTAAAATTTGGTCACCTTACATTTTGGCACAGAAATAAATTATGAATTAAAAGGTGTAATAGGAGTAGGGTGACCAGAATTTTAAATAAAAAACTGGGACACTCTCAGTTTGGGTTGGTTGGTATTAATAAAATAGTGAACCGAGTTAAAGGCTCTGCCCATTCATGACTAACACTTGAGTCAGTATAGTCACATTTCTTTTGTGTTTTGGTGACTGTTTTTTAAGCAGCTTCTCTGTTTTTTACCTAAACAAATGTCAATATACGCGTCTCTTTACTGTTGGCAGGTATCAAATTGGTCAAAAATAGGGACGTCTGGGACAGTTCTTGTATAAAACTGAGAGAAATCACTGGTTCTGTATAAATCTGCTGGGACAGGGGACACAGATCTCAAAACTGGCACTGTCCCGAGTAAATAGCGT